TGGAAGCATACAGAGTTTGTTGTAAAATGCCTTTTTGTGTGTTTTTGCATGTTTGAATTCACACAAAATTTTAAAATCTCAGTAAGCATGAAGAAAGAAATATAGGTAGATCAGAAACTAAAATAATTTTTGATCTTTTGAAATACTGCCAAGTTTGTAATATAAATAAGCTAACATTGGCTATTAAATGTTACTTTGAATTAAAATATTCTAAATACATTTTACAATGATTTCAGGATACTCAAAACACATTTTTCCTTTTTTCTTTTTTAATAAAAAATTTGGGAGATTTGCTGGAACTGACTGTTTCAGGCAGTTCTAAAATTGACTATTAGCATATTTTTCATGAGAAAATATGTTGGTGGAAAAGAATTCATTGGTGCTCACTGACAAACATTAGAATACAATCCAAATCAGTTAAGTAGCACTACTTTGGAAAACTTCCTAAAGGCACTGCAACAAGTCTAATTTCTTCGGTATCTTTAGCCCAAAGCTTGAAGGTAAAGCAATATATATGAAGATAAAACCATATATATGAATCTATTCTTGGGTTTAAGTTTAGAAGAGTGACACAGATCATGTCTTGTGTAATCTCTGGAGGCCAATATCATGCAGGAACTGGTGATTTCCAGAGGAAAACCATCAGTGCATTAGGGAATTACCTGATCAGGCTTTCTGTAGCTGCTTTTTTTTTTTTTTTGACACATTATCATACTTGCACTCCAATTTAAGCTCCACTTTATATAATGCAAGCTTGCTAAGATTTCTGAATCTGTCTGTGCCATGGAATTCTAGATAGTATGGAAGGATTATCAACCACAATGCTATTTGCATAAATCAGCATGTGACCAACTGAGATATCTGAACTCTCTAAAGATCTATTACATTTTAATGGAATATAGTCAAAACTCACATGATTCTATTCCAGCTACCAAGTCAGTATCTGAAAGACTGACTTAAAACATTACTGAAAACTTTGGATTGAAAACATGCATAACCTTGCATCAGATTGAAGTAAATCAATACCTCATCCTCATTTAAACTCATCAGTGAGAAGGAAAATGGAGGAAGGGTCTTTTAAGAGCAATTCTAAACTTTTTTTTTTTTTTTTAAGTTTCTCCTACTATCCAGAAGTACTCTATCTGAAAATAAAGCAGTAATGTTTTGCAGCAACTTTCCTCTCTACTTTCTCAATGCTATTTTTTGCAGCTAGTGCTCTGAGCAGCCACTGGTAGTTAAGATGCTTCTTCCATTTTCCTCACCCTGCTGATGGCTATCTACATGACTTAAGCAATTTGGGACAGAATTTCTTCAGGTATTCAGGCACTTAAGATACCAACAGGCTCTTAGGCATATTTTCAGAAATACCAAGGTGTCCAGCTGTTGCTGATGGAAGATATGCCACTTCTGGCATAGGCTCTCTGATTGCCCCTTTAGTGCCTAAATACCTTGGATCATCTGTCATAGATCTCTGTCTTCCCAATTTCCTACATCTCTGTAGTGGTGGCAGTTATGCTTACAACTGCAAACCTCAGAGAATGAGGTGAAATGGTTACTCAAGTACCATTTAGTAACATTTTAAACAGAGGTAGATTTAAAAGATCACTGGCATGAAAAATAAAAAAAGCATCTATTGTTATCAAACTGAACAGAATATTGGAATAAAGGGGAATAGACTTGAAGAGCAGGGTATCAAGACTTCTAGAATCTGAAAGAATTTTTTTTTTTTTTACCTTAAGACAGCTACAGAACATCATCACTGCAATCTTTTATTCAAGAGTACATGCATTCTTGTAAGGTATCAGCTGACAGCACCAACTTCCTGACACAAAGCAAAACAAAGGATATTATTCCTGTTCGATAGTCGCTGCTTCAGTTTGGACATACAAGGAACAGAATTGTAAAGATCTATTGCTTTTCTTCATCGATGGCTTTTTTCTAAAGTCCAATGTGGACAGCCCCAAGTCTCCTCCCCCAGATGGAGCTTCTCATAAAGGAGACTAACTAATTTGAGGACAAAGAGAGATGCAGTAATTCTTTTAGGCCCCATTTCAGCAAGGCACTTAAGCACATGCTGATGTCGATCGCTGCTGAGCAATGGACAAAAGCATATGCTAGTTAAAATTATGTATGCATCCCTATAGTCTCCATTAAATGTTTGTACAAGCACTGGAGCTTAGCAGAATCAGGGCTTCTGGGAATAAAGCTATGTAACTTCTATGTTGTGGGTTCATTTAGTGCCACTCACTAGGACATTTTCTATGGTGACTGGTTCTCCACCCAGCACTCATGAACGCAAACAAGACTGAATTATACCATGGGACTAAAAGCACATTTTTTGGCTTCGATAGATGAAACATGGGAGATCTGTAAGCATCCATCTACTACAAATGGCTTCTCTGCTATTGCCTATGCCACATCTTCATAATATCACTGGCAATGAACTGTGATTATTCCAAGTTTCTACAGTCTACATTTGTGGTATTTTTGCAGTTTCTTTTACATACAGCTTTGCCTCTTTGAGACACTTTGTTTTGTTTTGTTGAAATAACACACCCAAATGGTGCACACTAAGGAATGTAAAGCAGATAGTAGTTACCTGAATATTATTAATATCTATCTATGGTGAATTAAATCTGGAGGCGATAAATTTCATTATTGCTAAGAAGTCACTGTTGGTGTTATTGCCTTTCTACCTACAGAGCATTGCTGTTTACCTTTCAATACTTTTATGATCATTGGCTTTGAAGTGAGTTATATCACTCAACAATGACTTGACGTTTCATGGCTTAAGAGAGAATATTGCTAAATATTTTTAGCAGTAGTAAATTATTGCTTTTACAATTACTGCTCTGAGTTTTTAGAACATTATTGACCTAATTTTATTCCCAAAAAAATGTCCATAAAAATCTACCAGAAATATACCTGGGAAAAAAAAAACCAAACATTTCCTACAGCAATTTTGAGACAGCTCAGACCTAACAAGTCTGAAATTATTCTATATCTCATCTCCTCTCCTCCCCACCCTGGAGAGAAGGTTTTTCTTTGCTTTCTTCCCTTTGAACAAAATCTGACTTGATACTCAATTTTTTTTTGCCTACCACAGAATGGCAGGCTTGTAAGCCACCTAATGGAACAGTCCTATTTTGGTAGCATTTTGAATACATAAGAATTAATGAATTTAAAATATCCAGTGATATATTATAAACAGTTTCTCTCTCTGGCATTTGGAAAAGCATTAGAGTATGATTTAGCTCATTTCAGTTTACATGGCACACTTTGGTAAGAGGAGAGATTACTCTGATTTTAGTTAATTTCTAACTCAGGTAATGATGACCTTGCAGTGGAAAATGCTAATTGCTGTTTTGGCTGGAAAAATGTTCAGTTGTTCTGAAATTATGTGTGGAGTTTTGCCATTCTCTGGTAAAAACACTTGCTGTTACTTATGACCGGGAATCCTATGTATTATTACCTGGTAAAATCAATTTGATATTCAGTCACTGTTGGGTTCTTCGGAACTTGTCAAAACTGCCTAAGACTCCTGATTGCGACACTTCCAGCCCAGTGCACCAGCTGATTGATATCCTCTGCTATTACTTAGAATATAGGCGTACTAGACCCATGCACTCTGTGGTTCTTTTCCATGTAACACAGCTGACAAAACTTCCTGGGGAGTCAGATGATTTGTCATGAGCAAATGAACAGCCAAAAGTACCTAGAGAAGGCCTGTTCTCTTCATAGTGGAGATCCCTGCAAGGGAATGATTTAAAGGGAAAACAACTTCTAAGCCGGAAACATACACTGAGAGGGAGTGGGCTGCAAATATCCTTTCTCTGTTTAACCTAGTAAAGATCTAGACGTAAAATAAAAACAAGTTTTTGCATGTCTTTTTGATCATAATCTGCCCATTCCCCAACCCTGTCATACCCCCTAACATACAAGCATACATGTAATTCATAACAGTGAGCCTATCTATGAACTAAGATGATAACTCACTTAACATTGACAGGAAAAGTTGCTTACTGAGATAAATCTTTCTGGGCTTAGACATGCATAAAAAACCTTAATTCTTGTTCCCTGTAGCTTGCAAAGATACATGTGCTTCCTTCTAACCTGGTCTTAGATTGGCATATCTGCTCTAAAAATCAGAACAACAAGTCTTAACACTCACAAACGAACATTTTTCTATGAAGCTCTGTGGCTTCTTCTTTCAATACAAACTGGTTATTATTTCAAAATATATGTACAACTCTCAGCAGAAATTTTGGTGCTACATCTTCAAGTGTCTGAGGGAACCACAGTTCGATGTGGTTATTTACACTTCCACAAATCCTCACACAAGGTATGCAACCTCATCAGTGAACAAACAAATAGAATATATAGTGGTAATATCACATATGTAGTTATGCAGTTCACCTGAAATGGGCCATTTAGTTGTGGAGTGCACACTAAGTACGTATGCAGATGTGCATGTTCCTATAGGCACACAGCTGCATACACTGCCAGAATTCTATTGGCACATGTGTGTATGTGCTATTCATATATGAAGAAAAATGCATGTATATCCCTATCTGCCTCACTGGGCAGAAGATGACAGAACAGAGAGTGAAGGTAGATACACACTCGTATGTTTGAGAGTGGCTACTGCACACCTTGTCATGCCAGTGTGAAAAGGACAGTTGCAGGTTGCTGGTTTTGCAGCCATTAATTTTACATCTTATGGGGAGGGGGTAAAAAAAAAGGATTTTTCAGTTCCTTCCCCCCCCAGTAAGCATCATTGGAAGAAGACCAAAGCAGAGCAACTATAAGTTAAATATACATTTGAGCTTAGCTGCATTACATAACTCTGTAGGAGAAGCAGGCTGAAAAGATTTTTTTTTGTTTCATTTAAATCTTTGTATTTTATTTCTCTTCCTTTTCATCTCTTAACTCCTGTTAATTTTTCCTCCTAAACTACATCATCCTCTGAAGAACGCTGGGTTTCGCAGGCAGGCGGCTAGTCACCTGCAACAACCAAGGGGTCCTGCAGAAGCTTCCAGGCTGCTGTCCGTGTCAGACGCCAGTGTTTGATCCGTGGACATGGATGAGATGTCATTGACAGATGAGGATGGAGGGAGGCTTTCACTGCTGTTCACTGCTGCACCTGTGCTACGAAAACGAACACCAATGTGATTAAACCCGAAACCCCAGAACTTCTGACAATTTAAAAAGCGAAGGATGCTTACGCTGTGGCAACAGGCATATAAGTACACAGACCATTTCAAACAATGGCAAACATTAGCAGAAAATGGGCTGTACAAACTTTAGGCATTGGATAGTATTAATTATTTTACCAGGAAATTCTCTCCCTTAACAGTCTGTTTTGAAGAGGTATAGCTCATGTTGTGTCTATCACTCTGCTTCTTTCTAGCCTTCTTAGAGTTACAAAACACCCAACAATCAGATTCTGCCTGCTAGGATCACACAGGCACCAACAAGATGGTTAAAAAACCAACCCAATCCTCCATACTCTCTCATAAAATCCCAGTTTTCTTGCAGGTAGTTCAGTCGAATGGCTGCCAGCTAGTGGCAGTGCAGAGAAGATGGCTGTGGAGGAGGCAAGGTTGGTTTCTTCCTCTTAGTTAAGGACTAGGTCACTAAGCCCAGGATTTCAGTTGTGACTATTTTTGTGCATCCAAGTTTACGTGTCCTCTGTAAAATGACAATAGTACCAGGTATTATCCAAAAAATCACTTTGACTTTATGAAACGACGAATGTACCTTCATGAGATTATCATTGACATGACTGAACATTTATCACATCCCTTAATATTATCAAAAATCATCTGTCCTATAAATGCAGATAACTGTGACAAATACAGAGCCACATGAACAATGTATTTATCGTGCATCTATGCTGAACTGTCACTCTGCCCATTAACCTCATTAACCTCAGTTCATGCTTAAGTTCTCCGAGTAGCAAATGACAGATCTTTATTCTGCAGATAGATGCCATTTCATTCTTATTGCCAAAATTTTTCTCAATTCACTTTTACAGATTTTAATTTCCTCAAAATGGACAGAAATTAACATCTATTGCCTTGAAAAGCAAGAGAACACACCTAATAAAACACACCTAGTAAAATTAGAAAACTCATATATTCTTAATACAGAAATTAATAGCCATCTGTACAGCCTGGGCAAAATATATGATGCTGTGGGCAAAAGGAGAGGATTTCTGTCACTTTCCAGTTTGCAATAAAAATGTTACATTGAGAAAACAAGCCACCATACCATACCTCCAACCACTTTTCCATTTTCCTCAACTTTTTCTTCCCCTTATACACATCCGCTATAAATATGCACAAACCAGAGACAGATACGCTCACGTTCAGAGTTCCAGATGGGAACTGCTTTCTGCTGTTGTAGTAGTACAAATATATTCTGGCATCAGAAGAACCCTTAAATTAGTTTACTCTCCTGATACATTTGGAAGATAAAATAGTTAATTTTGTAAATGCTGCAAAAAGACAGAACAATCTCAACGATGTCTCATTGGTGACTGCACACAGCAATCATCCATCTTTTCTGACAGAAGATTTGTTTTTCTAAGAGTTATTTATATGTACCTCATTCATATTGATCAGTAATCACTCAGTACAATACTGTTCCTTCAAGTTTACATGTTATTAAGCCATGTGGCATTTTATGAAAATACTAATCAGTCAAGACAAATGCATTTAGATAGAGTCAAAACACGACTGAATTTAATTATTAATTAAATTAAAATTAATAATTAATTAATGACTAAACAATATATCACCTTTCTAAATGTTTAGAGTGCTGGACAGAAGCCTGCCATTAAGTCATGGATACAGTCCCAGGAATCAAATGGAAAGAATTCCAGTAGGTTCAGTCAAGTTTTGATCAAACTGTTGCTGTGCAGCTTGCTTTGATGAATGTACTATCAACTTAGCTAGGCAAAATAACTGAACAAATAGCTGCAGAAATTGTACAGGTGAAGATTTTGTTACACTCTGTCTGATTCAGCACCACTGAATTCAATAAACCCTGCTACGTTCATTTCAGCAAGTATCAACTCAGCCCATGAGTTTCTGGAAAGTGCCATTTTTATGGTTATTCCTAGCTTTCAGCACAATTCCATGTGACATGACACACAGACCTGATAGTTACTGTTGCAGCCCCAAAGCACCCAGACTCACGAAATACCCACAAAACCAAATGAAACCACACCAAACCTAAATGACAGAATTAAAGAATTCAGAAGCACAAAGCAGCACTTATGCAACAACACTCAGAAACCTAACCAAAAGCTGTCCAAGTCAATAAGTAATGCTTCATTTGCTATGCTCAGCACCTGCCTGGTGCTACAACAGCTTGTTCCTGAAGGGATGGGTGCCAGGTGAAACAGTGCAGAAATGACAGAGGTGCATTCAAAAGAGAAAGAGAGCCCCATTTATGAATTTGCTGTTTGGCAGGAAGCTTCTCACTGGCTGCAGGGTCAAGGAAAAGAGTAAAAGGTTAGAGCAGGTGAGAAACAGCTCCTGGGATCTGTTCCTGGCTCTGGCATTGACTTGACAGCTACTCTTTCAAGCCGCACATCAGCTTAGGGATTCCTTCCTCAGACGGCTCCTGTGAAGCCTTATTTAATTAGCACCTATGGAAGTGCCTTTAAGACTTCAGCTGTGAAGTGGTACAGATTGGGGGGGGGGGAACACACTAAAAGGAGAACTGCAGCTTTTGCTGTTTCCAAAAAAAGCCTTGTGTCTGTCTTGGGGATTTGCTCAGCTTCTTATAAATTGTATAATTAGTAACTCTTGATGCCCAATGTTGCAATGCTTGGCAAGTCCATCAGCTGCTTATTTTAGGCTCTGCACATGACAGAAGAGGGCTAGTAAAGGTATCCAGTAGTTCCTGGGTGATAGCAACAAAACTGACCAAATCAGCCAGCAACTAAAAGGCAGGAAGGGAAGAATAAAAGAGCAATTTGCAGCAAGAAAGGGAACTGCTAAGAATAAGCTGCACTAAGCTCAGCACTATTTACTATATTCAGTATCCAGAAATGACAAGACAGTTGAAAATGTTAGGTATGAAACTACAGCTGGGTAGTGAAGACCAGGGGAGAGTGTGAGAGGAGGTTAGATAGTATGCAGTGTCAGAGCAGAGGAAATATGCAAATAGCAGCAAGGTTATTTACTTTGGACAGAACTCAAGTTTAATTCTAAATAATCTACAGCCTTGTATGAAATTTTTTATTTAATGGAAATATCTGCTGTTTGATAATACCAGTCAGAAACACTTTTTTTAATGCATTAACCAAACAGAAAACAGTATTGGTAAATTCCTCCCATATCTTTGCATAAAACCATTTATATCCTTTGCTTCTCTGCTTCAGAAATGACAGAGCAGAAGAATCATGAGACTGCTAGTGAAAAGCTCTATTGCACTTCTTGGTAAAGCAAGTAATTTAAAATAAATAATACATCAACTGTGGAACCCAGCAGGAGACCTCAATGGAAGATGCACATATGCATGTGTGATAGCCACATATATGTGTGTGTGTGTGTGTTTTAGAAAGGATATAGGTGTATAAAAGGTATATATCTTCATGTTATAAGGGTGTGAATTAGTCAACAATCCTGAAGGTTGATTAAATTTAGTGGCTATTTCTCACATGTATTGTTGTGACTGAGTTCCTCTGAGAAAATATTTTGTTCTAATGACTTCTATTCTCCCAGCTGAGTAATGATATAGCATAGACCCTTTGAATAGTGAGCATGTTGGTAAGGGGTATGGCATCTGAATTTATAAGTAAAACAGAACCGTTTTGCAATTCTGTAACATAGAAAGAATAGAAAAACAATCTAAGATTAATTTCAATGTTTATGTGTGCATGGGGACATGCATATGTTGTTTGCACATGTTGCTTACATACTGATGTAATACATATATACACACATACACACAAATCTTTCCACTCAATTCAGCACTACTAGTGCCTTAAGCAGATAGGTTTGGACACTGTGCTCTATGAAAGAAGTCAACTAGATAAAGTGTAGAGAAAAGCAGTAAGTTTGAAAGATATAGGTAGTGAAGTTCAAAGGAAGGAAGACTGATCAGGGATGCAATAATGGAATTTACGTGAGCTAAAAGCTGCCAGAAAGAAAGATGGAGGAAACAGTTCTCCATGTTCTCTGGAGACGGGAGAAGAAATAACAGTTAAACTGCAGCAAAAAAAGATTTAGACAAGACAATACAAAAAGCTTTTTGAAAATAAACAAGGTAGCCTACAGAGGGTTTTTGGAACAGGCAGCAGAAGTATCTGTTGGGAACAGTTTTAGACACAGTCGATTTTGTTCGTTGGGCAGGAGCATGAGGGGAACTTGAGGTTCCCCCCAAGCCCCACATTTCAAGCTTGTATGTTGTATTAACTAATTCTTCACAGGACAAGAGGAAGCACTAAGTGACAGACACCCTGATACACAGGCACTCTAAGTAGCCTGCACTATCAATGGGGCAATGATTATCCTTGGTGTTGTCAAGTTCAGCTGTCTCCCCAAAAGCTCTGATCAAGTAATCACAGAAACTCATCTTCAGCTTGCTTGCTATGATTATTGGTAGAGCACCAGATCTTAGCCTTCTGAATTCTTGCCAAGAACACCTACTGATGAGCAATGTGTGTGCAGTCCTCCTCATTTCCCTTATGCTCAGAACTGGTGACTTGTAGTGACCTCATTCTTTCAGTATTTGATTCAGTTGAAAAAAATTAAGTCAGGCACACGAAGTGATGAAAACCAGGAAACCTACTGTTTCATAAAACAGCCTCATCTCAGAGCAATTTTTAAATAGTTGCTATACTTGTTGGTGCCTAACAATCCAAAAACAGCCAAAGGGGAACAGCAAAAGAAAGATAGGTAAGAAGTGGCAATTCTGCATGTTCGGAAATGTTTTACATAAACAATAAAAACTTTCCACATAGGAAAAACAGAACATGGAATACATAAAGAAATCCCTGGGTAGTTAATTCCTGAAACCAGCAACTACAATGTTTCTTGATCATAAATCAGACTGCAACCACCATTCTATGGGGGAGAGAGATTTCAGCATGAGGATTTATCAGATACTTGGCAGGGCCCCAGATTTCTTTTCAGTGATGGTACAGTAGTTTGTTAAATTAAATCTACAAGTCCTATATTTTGTTTGCTGCTCGGCAAGAACACAATGGATTGTTTTCAATATCTTACTTCATCGATGTCAAAATCCAGGTGCAGTGCTAGCACTCTTATATTACCATCCAGCACTCTATTAACTTCGTCCATTGTTGCCATGTTTCCCCTTGTCCTGTTAGTTATTAATGATGCATTCTTGTTCTAACATTGTTAGCTCAGCAAGCGAGAAATGAGAATGCAAAAAAAAAAAAAAACCACCAAACCTCTAAAAATATGCAGGGAATACTGAATTAAAATTATTTTACTTTGAGGAAAGGCTCTGCGTAAGGTAGTTTTAACTAGTATTTATCCATAAATGCTGCTGGAACACTGTGCTCAAACTGTGGGCACTCCACGTCTGCCAGTGAAAGCGTACCTTCACAAATATGTATTTCTGTGTACTGGCAGTCACAGTTTGCATTTCTGTGAAAAGACTGCTGATGTGAATTTTCCTCAGGTAAAATTTACTTGTGATTTTTTTTTGTGAAAGGACTTTAAGAATCTGTGTTTGAAGACACATTTTCCTTCTCGTCAAAGTGTCAACCAAGTTTGTCAGCAAGCTGTTCTAATGTTATCAGACTTCTGAAAGGATAAACTACCAGACTAGGTACCAGATGTTTACATGGGGAGGGGGGTGGGCAGTGTCACGTGTCCAACAGATGGATACGTGCTAACATCACCAATTTTGCTTACATCAACTAGCAGAGTATTAGTTCAGTTATCCATCCATAAGCAGTATAATAATAATAGTGTGAGATAAGCCTCCCCACCCACAGGAATATAGTCTGTAACCACAGATCTTTCCATAGAAAATACCAGGACAACTATATCTCAAACAGCAAGCAGACCAATTTTTAACTATTAACATGACACTGGAGCACAATTAATCAAGGTCAACCCATTAGAAGCACTGGATTTCATAAAAACTTCTTAATTGGTCTACATAACTGCAAGTATAGCCTGAGTGCTTCAGCTATCTCCATTCTCTTCTTGTCGGTACAGAAAACACATCAAAGTTATTCAATGGGGCTGAGTACCTGAAGGAGAAGGCTGTCCTTTTACTACGCCATTTTTAGTCTTTTCTTCAGAATTCATTACTTCTTTGTAGATGAGTTCTGGAAGAGATAATTACAACAGTTACAAAGAGGAACCAGTGCCTGTGATCAGGAGAAAACAACTATCACAAAACAGTGTCGGAGCCCTCCCGTGAGCTCCCTAGGTCTGCCCTACCTTGTCTTCATGAGTCTGACAGCTCTATTTGCCCAAGAACTCTCTCTTCCATTCCCCTCCTCTCCTATCATCTCTTTTTGGAGCTAAATTGAGACACATAGGGTTAAACTAGAACACATGAATTGTTTAATGCTGCACTATCTAGAAATGAAGCAGCACAATAATACGGTGCTTTTTTCTGTGGGTGAAATTCTGATGTATCGTCCT